CTTTCTTCCCAGATTGTAAGATTAGTTACTCCCCCCTTTTTGTTACAAAACTTCTACATTTACGGCTGTGACCATCGCCATTAGTCATGATAAAAATTATTCACTATTGAACCATAAGAATCTTAACCTCATCTCCTTGCACCATGTCTAGACAAGATGAAAACTATTCAGTGGGGATTCTACCTTCCCCCGCACACTCTGAAACTAAATTCCCTCTTGAAAACTTGTAAGCCAATCACTTTGTACCTTTATAGCCTTCCCCCGCCCATTTTAGGTGGCCAATGCAAAGATCATGCTTTCATCATCAGAGACATACTGTTTTTAATGCCACATTGACCACAGTCATGTTCCTTCTTTAAAGATATATTAAACAATTAATAGTATTTATTAAACATTATGATATACAAAGCAATGTAATCGAGAATGATTTAGATAAAAATATAGGATAGATTTTGTTCAGTAATCTTACAAAATAAAGTGAAATAAGCCATAAAATAAACAAATAAAAAAAAATCAAGTCTTCCTTTCACGTCTTCTTGTTGTTGTTTTGTCAGTTCCTACTCATTGTGATCTTATGCACAATGAAACAAAACACTGAGCTATCCTGCACCATCCTCACAATTGTTATCTTTGAGCCATAGTTGCTGCCACTGTGTCAATCTATCATGTTAGGACCTTCCTCTTTTTTGTTGACTCTCCATTTTTCAAGCATGATGTCCTTCTCCAGGGACTAATCCCACCTGATAAGATGATTAAAGTACAGGAGACTAAGTCTCCCATTTGGGTTTCTAAGGATCAATCTGGCTGTACTTCCAAGACAGATGTGTTTGTTCTTCTGGCAGTCCATAGTAGTCAATATTCTTCACCAATACCATAATTCAAATGCTTCAATTCTTCTATGGTCTTCCTTATTAATTGTCCAACATTCACATGCATATAAGACATTGTAAGTACCTTGTCTTGAGTAAGGCACACTTAGTTATCAAACTGAAATTTTTGCTCTTTAATACTTTAAAGAGATCATTTGTAGTAGATTTGCATAATGAATACTTTAATTTCTTGATTGCTGCTTCCATGAGCATTGCTTGTGGACCCACATAAATTGACAACTTCAATCTTTTCTCCATTTATCATGATGTTATTTATAGGTCCAGTTGTGAGGATTTTTATTTTCTTTATATTAAGGTGCAGTCTGAAAGCTGTAGTCTTTTATATTCCTCGGTCTTTGCTTTCAGCAAACAAGGTTGTGTCATCTGTGCATCACAGATTGTTAAAAGTCTTCCTCCAATCCTGATGCTACATTCTTCTTCATATACTCCAGCCTCTCAGATTGTTTACACAATTAAGTGTTATGGAATACCCATTCTTCATGTTTTTCATTTCATTTTTTACAACTTCCAATGTTTCTAGATCCATTCTTCATTCATTCTATGTTCTGATTCTTAATTGATGTCTGCAACTATTTCTCCTCATTTTGAGCTGTGCCCCACCAGCAAAAACATAGCCCAAATGGCTTACTCCATTCATGTCATCATATTCAACTCTACTTTGAGCTCTTCTTCAGTCGTATTTTGAGTGCCTTCCAACCTGAATGGCTAATGTTCTGGCACTATATCTGACAATGTTTCACTGCTGTTCATAAGGTTTTCAGTGACTAAACATTCAGAAGTAGTCTATCTCTCCTTACTAGTCTGTCTTTGTCAGGAAGCTTAGCTGAAACTCATCCAGCATGTGTAAACCTACTGGTACTTATGAACCGGTGGTATAATTTCAAACATCATAACACACAAACTGCCACCAAATGAAATTCTGAGAGATGAATGGTAGAGTTGCCATTTATGTTGCTGAAAAGGGCATTTGCAATTACTAAGTCATTGGTTTTATAAAAATCTATCATGCAATAATATCTAGCATCCTTTCAATCACCAAGGCTATGTTTTCCAATTACTGATCTTTCCTCTTTGTTTCCAACTTTCACGTTCCAATCACCAGTGATTATCAATGTATTTTGATTGCATGTTTGATCCATTTTAGACTGAAGAAGTTAATAGAATTCTTCACTTTCTTCATCATTAGCTTTAGTGGGTAGTGTGAAAATTTGAATAACAGTGGAATTACTGGTTTTTCTTGTAGACCTCTGGATATGTAATGATCCTTTATTTTGTGATTAAATATAATTATCCTCCATTTTTGCAGAATGCCAAATTTCAAATAATAGGCTTGTCTTTGGAATCTAGCCATGTCAATAAATAAGGATAGGTACAAATATTATAAAAAGTAAAAATCAGACACTCTGTCATTAATTCAATTCTGACTCATAACAACCCCGATAGAATTGCTCAGAGGGTTTCATAGGTTGTAAGGAGATCTGGTAGCGTAGTGGTTACGAATCGGGCTGCGAACCTTAGGGTCAGCAGTTCGAAACTACCAGCTGTTCCGAGAGAAAGATGAGGCGTTCTACTCCTGAAAAGATTTACAGCCTCAGAAACCCTATACAGACTCGCTATGAGTCGGAAACGACTCCATGGCACATAACAACAACAAAAAAGATTTACAGCCTTGGAAACGCTGTACAGGGTCGCTGTGAATCGGAACCGACACCACGGCATATCATGAAGACGATGAATCTTTACGGACACAGATAGTCTGGCCTCACTATCGCTGAATAGGTTTGAACCATCAACCTTTATATTAGCAGTCAAGCACAAGCTGTTTGTGCCAATCAGGAATCTCAATTGTTGTTGTTAAGTGCTGTCTAGTTGGTTCCGACTCAGAGCAACCCTGAATAGGTATTCTGAGGAGCAACTCGTGGGTTTGAATTGCTGACCTAGTGGTTTGTAGTTCAGTGCTGATCCTACAGTGATCTCAATGTTGTTAAGTACCATCGAATTGATTCCCACCCATAGCTACCCTGTATAGGGCTTCTGTGGAACAGCTGGTGAGCTTGAGTAGCCAACCTTGCAGTGCAAAAGGCTTTGTAGTCTGGCGCATTAACCCACAGCGCCACACCAGTACTATATTAATGCCAATATCCAGGTTTCCATTGATTTACTACAGTTGTGAAAGATGTTATCATTGGGAAACCAGATGAGTTATCATTACTAGTTTTTCCTAACTTCTAAAAGAGCTCAACAAAGGAGCTCAGGTAGCGTAGTGGTTACGAATCGGGCTGCAAAGCGCAAGGTCAGCAGTTCGAAACTACCAGCTGTTCCACAGGAGAAAGATGAGGTTTTCTGCTCCCATAAAGATTTACAGCCTCGGAAACCCTGTACAGGGTCGCTATGAGTCGGAACCGACTCCATGGCACACAGCCAAAAGAACCTTCAATTATTTTAAAATAAAAAAGGGTTTTGTTGTTGTCGTTGTTGTTTTAAAGTAGAAACTGACAGTAGTACTAGAATTAAAACTCAAGTCCCCTGTTTCCATATGATTTTTCCACTACAATCAATTGTTGTTACTCCTGCCCACAGAATATATATTTATTTTACATAAGAAGGAGATAGAAAAATAAAATATAATTCATATATCTCTTCCCATTTCATGTACTCCCAAATCTAGATTTAATAAATCCTAACAACCCACATCTTTCCATATGCTCACACAAACCCACTATTTGGGAATTTATTGTTGTTGCATTGTTCTATTCACATTTCTTCACCATTTGATTTGGTTTTCCCCACCTCATTGTTTGTAAACAATTCCTTTCCCATTTTGGCAATATAAACAAACAAACAAACCCTACACTAAAGTGCAAAGAAATTCATGTGAAATCTCTTCTTCAATGAGAGCTAAATTGAAAATGTTCAATTGCTCACGTGGAGGTGTTTAGGAATTGTTCTTCTCTTTTGTAATCCTTATAGAAAATCACTGTACATGGACAATAACGTTTCTTCTGCTCCCAAAGAGAAAAGACACCTTCTCCAAGTCATGCCACAGGTTTCAATGGGTCAAAATATTTCTGAGGACTTGATGGGATCATGCCAAGCTATGGACAATACTGCCAAGTATGAGTATTCTGGGACACTCAGTAATCTCTCCATTTCCCTATTGATGTAAAGTACCACATTTACGTAAAAACCGTTGTCATAAAAATTGCTACTTTTGGGGATGCTTACTATGTGCTGGTAAAAGTGCTCATCACCATACTTATAATTTCATTTACTCCTTAAAATAATCCTGTAAAATAGATTCTAAAATCCTCATTTTAACAAAAGTAAAATGGAAGACTAGAAAAATTGCCTAAATTCACTCAGTTGGAAGATAATCAATCTAAGGCTTGAACTATATTATTTCTGAATTAAATGCACATGCTATTTAAGCCAATTCATCTAATTAATTTTCCAACAGTTAGTGAGTAGTCTTAATCTATGATGAGGCCCTAGGAACATCTCCATTTAAGAGCATCATTTCAACTCTGTAAATCCCTAATTCCTAGTCAATGCTTGTTCTGTTTTTATAGGGAAAATCTGACAAAATTAACCTATAAACATTGAGCATCAAGAGTGAATGAAAGGAGGGGAAATTTATAATTTTAGACTTATTTGTAAATATATTATAAATTTATGAAAACACACAAAGGAAAAGGAAAAATCAGTTAAGGTCTTCTACTTCTAGTTCAATTTTATGACCTTTAAACATTTAAATTTATTGTCAGTATTCTATTTTTCCATATTCTAGATTTTTCATTATGAATCATCATATATTCCTCTAAGTTTCATGAAATTAGGTTATATAAAATTAAAGACAAAGTGTTATGTAAGTTTAATGTCTGTTTATTAATCTGTCAGTCATTAAGAATTAAGAATTATTAATTAAGCAAAATAATCAAAACATTAATTTAAATTTAAAATCAGGAATGCACTGATAAAATGCTTGTCAACATACATAAATCAAAATCACCACACACATGAAAATTACATAATTATAATTATATTAATTTGAAATTGCTATCTCCAAACAATTTAGAATTATTAATTTTAAGTTGATCATTTCATAAGAGACTAAGTAAAAACTTTATTAATTATTTCTAAGAATTCTAAAACTACATTCCTTGCAAATTCTGTCTTCATTAAATTTTTCCATAAGATCAAAGAGAGTCCACCTAGAAAAGATAGGAAAATATTATATACAAATTCAAATTTTTGTCCAATTATTGAAATGTTTATTATAAACAAAATTCTATGCATTTCACATTAAAATATTTTGTATTCAGTACATGGTAATTACATACTTAAGGTTTCTAAAATTTTAAATGATAATAATAATTTTTTTTACTACCAGATCATGTCAAATCAATAGGAAATATTAATAACTAATCAAAAAATGGGAATAATTCACAAGCACCCTTAACAGACTACAAATTTATACACACTATGGCAGTACTTTCTACTTAACAAGCTGGAACAAATTACATAAATTTGAGAGTGAGCTGAGGCAAACAAGAAGTTTAATGAAGAATTTTCTGATAGCAATATAAATAACAAAACTTTTTGAAAGACATGTGCCAATATCTGGCCCATTTATATCATATAGTTTATTGAATTTATTGGCAAAATACAATATGCCAAAGAAAGTATACATGGAATACCATTGTATTATTGGCAGTAGCTTATCACAGTAAATAATGCTGATGATTATGGTAAATACATTTAGTGAAACAAAATTTGTGGCACTGTACAGTTAGCACTAGACTGCTAAACACATGGTCAGTGGCTCAGAGCTATCAGCTACTCCTCAGAAACCCTAGACAAGGTCACTATGAGTCAGAACAGGCTGTATGGCACTTAACAAAAACAACAAACAAAATAAGCCAGGTCAACATGTCCTACAAGATATAAAAAAATTCCAACAGAAGTTTCTAGTTTATACATATAAAATATTATAGCTAGAACATTAAATGGAATTTCATTTGTACACCACCATAGGTATAATGTATTTGTTTCATTTCTTTATGTATAAAAATTATCTAAAAATTTGTAACACAAATTTGCAAACAAGAGTTGTTGTTATTTTTTAATTACGTGAAGTCCTGGGATGACATTAAAAAAAAAAATCATATAGAAATAAAGCAATGGGTCACTAAAAAGACAGGAAAGAAAGAAAATACCTAACATAGATGTCAGAAAAGACTAAAGTAGAGATGATAAAGCAAATAGAAGAAATGAGGAAGTAAAAGAGCTGAACAGAAAATTTACTAGGAAGGTAAAGTCAAGTACTATAATAAAATATGCAAAAACCTGGAGTTAAAAAACCAGAAGGAAAGAACATAGTCAGCAGTTCTCAAGATTAGATGGAAGATATACAAAGAGTCACTGTACCAAAAAGAAATGGTCAATGTTTAACCATTTCAGGAGGAAACATATGATAAAGAACCAATGGTACTGAGGAAGAAGTTCAAGCTGCACTTGAAAAACAAGTCTCCAGCAAAAGATGAAGTACAAATTGAAATCTTTCAACAAATTAATGTCGCACTGAAGGTTGTCACTCATTTATGCTAAGAAATTTAGAAAACAGATACCTGGTCAACTGATTTAAGTTGTGCCAATTCCAAAGAGAAGTGGCCCAATAGAATACAGAAATAATCAAGCAACATCATTAATATCACATGAAAGTAAAATTCTACTGAAGATAGTTAAAGAATGGTCACAACAATATATCCACAGGGAATTGCTAGCAATTCAAACTGAATTCAGAAGTGGACAGGGACATACTGCTGACATCAGATAGATCTTGGCTGGAAATAGAGAATACCAGAAAAATGTTTACTTGTGCTTTATTGGCTATGGAAAGGCTGTGTGGATCATGACAAGCTATGGATAACATTGTGAAGAATGGTATTGAAGAACACTTCATGTATTCATGAGGAACCTGTACATAGATCAAGAGGCAATGTTTTGAAAGGAACAAGAAGATACTGAATGGTTTCAACCAGACTTGTATTCTTTCCTCATACTTATTCAATTTCTATTCTGAAATGGTTAATGTTCAACCATTTCAAGATATACCATATGAACAAGAGCCAATGATACTCAGGGAGGAAGTCCAAAGTGCATTGAAAGAAGTGGCAAAGAACAAGGCACCA